CAAAGATCAGCGGAGCTCGTGCGGCGGACGTTATACCCATAATTGGCCCTCATCTCTGGAAACACAATCCGATCGTTACCTATTCGTTATCCGCAATCTCCCCGTAGTTGGCAACGTCGGGAGACACGCGTTCTGTGACATCGCTCGCATAACGAAGTAAATCAACGGTGAGGCCGGGGCCGAGCGGCGCGCAGAGCGCAGCAGTCCGCGTTGCCACGGCGTTGCCTTTCCATGCGAAATGCCGAACGGACGACTGAGAGATGGAAGGAGAAAGGTAGCGAACGCGGTGACTGCGAGAGTGAAAGAGAGAGCGAGAGAGAGAGAGAGAGCGAGGAACGATCTGAAGAGAGAAGGAGAGACGGACGGGACTCTCGCATGCAGAACCCTTAGTATTCCTTCTACGTCAAATGTTAACTCGTGCCACTAACTATGCGGCTCTCTTATTCGCCTCGTGCCTCGGCTCCTCTCTCCGCTGTGCCCCCCTCCCTCCCCCCTCCCCCAGGCGGCCTTTTTTCCACGGCGCACCGTCGTCGTATCGGCGACGATCCGGCACGCCGCTCGTATTTGTATCGCGCATCGGCCCGGACGGGGCCCGATCGTTACCTTGCACGAGCCGTATCTTATTTTTCGACGGGCCCTTCGTACGCGGAATCGCACGCGCTCCGATTTACATACGCCGCGCGGCGCGCTTCCACCCGCGAAACGCCGTCGAATGCGCGCAGAAGCGCTCTGAAACACTGTCGAATGTAAATAGAAACGCTTGTGAACTTGCAATGATTTAGACGCGTCGCATTTTTAATGGCGAACAGTCTGAGACGGGGTCAAACATTGTCAAACGTAAGCAGAAACGTTGATGAATATGGAATGATTTACATGCGCTGGATTCTTACTGAGAAATAATCTCAGATAGTTTCAAACATTGTCAAACGTAATCTGAGACGGTCTCAAACATCGTCAAACGTAAGCAGAAACGTTGACAAACATGCAACGATTTACGTGCGCTGAATTCTTACTAGCAAATATTCTGAGACAGTCTCAAACATTGTCAAACGTAAGCAGAAACGTTGACAAACGTGTAACGATTTACATACGCTGAATTCTTACTAGCAAACATCCTGAGACAGTCTCAAACATTGTCAAACGTAAGCAGAAACGTTGACAAACATGCAACGACGTATAAGCGCTGGATTCCCACCGGCAAACATAATCTGAGATGGTCTCAAACATTGTCAAACATAAGCACAAATGTTCGTAAACGTGTACCAATTTAGGTACATTATTTTGTTTATTTTTTTTCTTAACATACTTCATCTATTTCTCTGACAGCAATTGAAATATAATATTACATACGATATCTTGTTTATTCTTATTGTTAATGTTTTATTTATCTAATAGCAATTGAAATATTATGTACATTGTGATGTTTATTTTTATTGTTAATATACTTCATCGATTTCCCTAACAGCAGTTAAAATATTACACACAATATTTTGTTCATTTTCATTGTTAATATACTTTGTCTATCTAATAGCAATGGATGTTGTTATTTATTTTAGATATGTTATTATTACATATTGTTATTATTATTATACAATATATTATTTTTATTTTTAGATATGTTATTTATTTTTATTATTAATATACCTCATCTATTTCTTTACTAGCAACTAAATCATTATACACATTATCGTGTTTATTTTTATTCTCAATATACTTCATGTACTTCTATAACAACAATTGAAATATTACACGAAATAGCTTGCTGATTTTCACTGTCGCCAAGCTTCGTCTAATTTTTCAAATAGTAACAGAAACACGTGATTCGATAACCTCCCGTACTACCAACACGACTATTTTCAGCTGTAAACCCATTACAAGATTACACCAAGGGTCAATATTCGCGCCTAAGTAGCTGTTAGGTCGGAGGTTATCTTCTCTTCATTAGAGTACTAGAATACATGTAACGCCACTAAACATAATTCCAGAGAGATCGCTCTTAGATAGCGAACAAGCGTTGCTGTAAATCGGCGATGTTACTGACGCATGTGCTTTGTAATTATCGCTGGTTTCGGGCGTTAACGTTAAGTGCATGATTCAGATGCAGAAGAGTTGTAAATTACTGTCCAATATATTCCTTTTATCGGTGCACATAAATTAGTGGCGAATCTATTCATTGTATTGATACATGTAAATTATGGTTCAATATATTTATTTTATTGGTATTCATATAAGTTATTGTTCTAACATATTAATTTTATTGGTAGATGGAAATTACTGTTCAATATATTAATTTTATTGGTAGATGGAAATTACTGTTTAATATATTAGTTTTAATGATATGTATATGAATAACTGTTCTAATATATTAATTTTATTGGTAGACATAAATTACTGTTCAATATATTAATTTTTATTGGTATGTATATAAGTCACTGTTCTAATATATCTATTTACTGGTAGACGTAAATTATTGTTCAATATAATTAATTTTATTGATAGATTTAAATTACTGTTCTAATATATTAATTTTATTGGTAGGTATAAATTACTGTGCAATATTTTAATTTTATTGGTATGTATATAAGTTACTGTCCTAATATATTAATTTTATTGCTAGATGTAAATTACTGTTGTAATATATTTATTTTATTAATATATGTAAATTACTGTTCTAATATATTAATCTTATTCGTACGTGTAAATTACTGTTCAATACATTCACTTTATTGGTATGTATCAATTACATATTCGACGCTGAAAAATTTAATTAATAAAATAATTTAATTAACAGGGGTCTTGCAGATTCCTAATTGTTAACAGATCGATAAAACAACGTCCGCGAACATTTCAGACGAATTAAAACTGTGGAGAAAACTGCCAAAGGAGAAAGAGTCGCGAATGAGTGGCCGATTCATGCGGTGCTATACTACTTACTGTCCTCGAGACTCCCGGGAAAGTAGTAGTGGACAATGGTTGCCACAATTAGCCGGACAATGCAGGCGCTGCGCTCAAATGCAGTGAACCGTCTGCGATTCTATTACAAACGCACAACAATGGCAGAGAATTAATCTTTTCGTATAAATAGAATAATTCAACAATGGTGTTATCGTATATATCGCGAATCTGTATGCAATACAGAACGGTCCGTCGTCGTCCGACGACAAGTCATTTGTCTGATACTATGATTCAAAGCTGTAACGATTAAAATATACAAATTTAATATTTTAGAAAATTCACAGTTGCGACTGATCTTACATAGGTGTAACATTAAATTGTTAATCGTCGACGAAACGTCAACAGCTGCAAAAAGAAAAAAGAAAACCTGTTCGATATTTAAAAAAAAATCCTAAAAATTATTTTGTGTAGCTTAATAATAAATAATAATAAATTTACTGTTCAATATATTCATTTTATTAATATGTGTAAACTACTGTTCAATTATACTATTACAATTATTCAATTACTATTCAATTATTATATATTATATATATTACTTATATATTAAATTATAATTATGTATATTATATTATATATTACTTATATATTAAATTATAATTATATATATTATATTATTTATTACTTACATATTAAATTATAATTATATATTACTTATATATTAAATTATAATTATATATATTATATTATTTATTACTTACATATTAAATTATAATTATATATTACTTATATATTAAATTATAATTATATATATTATATTATTTATTACTTACATATTAAATTATAATTATATATTACTTATATATTAAATTATAATTATATATATTATATTATATATTATAAATTATAATTATATATATTATTATTATATAATATATTACATATATCATACTATTCATATTAATTATACATTAACAAATTTTTAAAAAAAGAAAGAACAAAAATTTACAAGCTGTAAATATTTAGCAAATGTTTTAGAAAATATACAAATTAATTACGCAGACACGATGTAAAACGAAGGCTCGGAGGGACGCCGTGCTATTGGCGCGTCACTCGGCCGATAGCTTCGTTAACGTGGTCAACCACAGGTGGAAATAATCGTGCGGATCCCGTAGCGTCGCGTAATTATCGTTCCAGGTTCTTACGCGGAACCTCCCAACGCGAGGCGGGAACCGGCGCGCGGCGAGGGGTGGGGGGGATTCCCGCGTCCGTTTCGAAACGTTTATCATCGGGACAGGACAGTGGAGAATTGCTATCTAGATAGGGAAAAAAAAGGCCGGCAACTCGGGTTGCACGTAGCACGCGCTATTTGTCACCCGGCGTCGCCTATCTCCGACTGGTATCTGTTATCGTGGTGCCGCGGAGGGCTACTTTGGCCCGATGCCGGCGCTAGATCTTATCTGGCCGTCCCTCCTTCCGTTCTAAGTTCGAGTTATCCGCCGCGGAATAAATTCAATGGCCAATGGTTATCGCGCCGACAAAGTAACGCTCGCCTGCGTCGCGTCGAGTTCCCGCAAACTTTCGTTTTCACGGCATACGATCACTTTTGGAGACGTATTTTAAGACCGAATCACTGTCTTTGAATGAAACGGATGCGGCGACGGTATGTAAACAATTTCTGTTAATAATTTTATCGTTTTAAGTTGTATTTTGTCTGGAGCTGGAGAGTCGGAGCAAATAGAAACGTTCCAGTGATTAAATTCTGATCACGTATGTGAGACAGCTAACCAAAAGGGAAAACGATAGTATATAAAGAACAGTGTTGGACTTCTAATTGTATTTAGTTTGTATTTTATTTAAAACTTAGTGATCTCAAGAACAGAATTATTGTGCAGTCACTGATGAATTTCTGAAAGAATTGGTCAATTCTGAAATGGACTTGGAATCACAGAGCTGACAAGCTTTATTCGAGCTCGATTAAAAAGGAGATAATTGATTGAAGTAATGTAACCTTAACAAAGTTTACAAATGCTGAAATTTGTCGCTAGAGGGCGCCGATCGAGTCGCCAATTTCTGGCACCACGCGCCGCCAGTCCGTCCTACTAGTGCATGCCTATCAAACGTCTATGCCTCGAAGAGGTTAAGAAAAAAATTCCATACGCAAAAATTGCCGGTGCATCGGTAAAGTTGATCGGTACTATTATCTACACTAATTTCGCTGTCATTAGTCTGGTAACGTTTTCCTTTTTTCCGTCGCCACGAGAAATCTCCGCGGTAACAAATGAACATAACCCCATTTTCCACTCGCGCGAAAGATGGTAGATCAGCTCGTTACAATAGCGATCGCGGTGAAACGGCTGTTACAGTCGCGAACGACGCGCTGATAAAATAAACACGTGCCCGAAGGCGCTTCCGACAGATAATCGGGGAGCGAGATCGCGTCGAATCGCGGGGCTTGACGAGAGGCGAAGCGCGAGAGAGTCGGCCGGGCGCGTGTGTCCATAGCCGGCGTTGTGCGAACGCGCGCGCGCGCGCGTGTATAAAATTTCGTTGCCAGTTCCCTGCGGGAGGCCAATTATACATGTACGCCGGCTTATTTCGCAACGGCGGCAATGAAACTCTAATGACGAACGCTGTCAACCGCACGCCCATGTGCGGCCCTAAGATCGTAAAGTTCGACCCGGCGAGTTTTCTGATCCCGCGACAGGTTACGCCAATAACGAACCGACGTATATGGAGTAGAGGCAGAACCTTTACGGGCCGCGCGCTAACGCTGAAATTCTTAATGCCACGTTGCGAATTTCGAGAACGGCCGCGTGGTGCCCTTTACTGTGATTCATATCGCCCCGTTATGGGGCAATACGGTGGCGTTGAAAAGATTCAGGGGGACAGGAAAGAAATTGGTACGCTGCGGTTGTTAGTGCTCGGTGATTGTATACAATATTAATAGTCTTCAGTAGTAATAATCTGCGGTACTAATAGTCTATAGTTGTCTGTATTATTGCTCTTCCAGAAATTCGCACGATCTGTGAGAACGACGAAAAGAAGGACATAAGAACGAAACTGCCTACGGAGCGTGGACTCGTCCAGCTCCGTCGATGTACGGCATGCTGGGCGAACCCCTCGGGGTTCGTCCCCTCGGGCCAGGCTGAAGCCCCTCTTGCGGAGATAAAAGACTTTAACACTACTCCGTAAGAGTGCCTGGATTGGGTTGGACTCGAGGTGGTAGTGGGAGTAGCACGCTGTCTTTCCCTGATACGATAGCGAACGAAGGTAGAGCCCGAACATCAGGCAAAAGTCGCAAGAGCGGCCGGTATGGTCCATCAAGGACTTAGGTACGGCCCGTCTCTCAGAGACCACAGTTATGACGACACACACTAACTGTATTATTGCTCTATATGATCCACAATGTTAACATTTAGCAGCAATAGCCCACAATAGTGTTCAATATTAATAGTCTCAATAGTAATAATCTGCGGTACTAATAGTCTATAGTTCTCTGTATTATTGCTCTATATGATCCACAATGTTAACACTTAGTAGTAGTAGTCCATAATAGTGTACAATATTAATAGTCGTAGTAGTAATATTCTACAGTACTAATAATCTATAGTTGTCTGTATTATTGCTCTCTTTGATCCACAATGTTAACACTTAGTAGTAATAGTCCACAATAGTGTACAATATTAATAGTCTCAGTAGTAATAATCTGCGGTACTAATACCTTATAGTTGTCTGTACTATTGCTCTATATGATCCACAATGTTAACACTTAGTAGTAATAATCCACAATAGTGTACAATATTAATAGTCTCAGTAGTAATATTCTACAGTACTAATGTAACGTGCGGAGAATCTTCCCACGAATTTTTTATATCCCTTCCTGAAGGCATACGCCAGGCTGGCGCCAGCCAGTCGGAGCCCAAACGCGACCAGGAATCGGGTTAGTTTCGAGTCATTCGTCGACGCGGAAACGTTAGTAAGATCGAGTTTCAATTCTCCTTCGAGCAATCTAATAGGTAATTAGACATCAAGTCAGAAACCCCCGCCGATTCAGCGCGAAAAGCTGAGAGCGCGTTAGAGTCCGCGAACACTTATTTACAGTTGTAAAACCCAACATGTAATAAATTAGTTTTTACCAGTTTTCTTTGGTTTCAAGTTTAATCATTTTCATCTCCTGTTTCGAGGAGATATATCTTTATTTCTATATTTCTTTTCTAACAAAGTTACGAGGCACCCTAATACCAATTTCTCCAAACACCTTATCCTAACCTTAAAGGTAGCCACCCGTGTCGAAATAAACATCGGCTGGTCTACGCACCTCAACCAAAAATTCCAATTGCATGCAACTTCCGGCCACCCATCCTGCCTGGCCCTCGGCTCGTAACACTAATAATCTATAGTTGTCTGTATTATTGCTCTATATGATCCACAATGTTAACAGTTAGTAGTAATAGTCCACAATGGTGTACAATATTAGTAGTCTCAGTAGTAATAATCTGCGGTACTAATACTCTATAGTTGTCTGTATTATTGCTCTATATGTAATATAGATTATATGGAAGACTATGTGTAGACTATATGTAATAGTCCACAATAGTGTACAATGTTAATAGTCTCAGTAGTAATATTCTACAGTACTAATAATCTATAGTTGTCTGTATTATTGCTCTCTTTGATCCACAATGTTAACAGTTAGTAGTAATAGTCCACAATAGTGTAAAATATTAGTAGTCTCAGTAGTAATAATCTGCGGTACTAATACTTTATAGTTGTCTGTATTATTGCTCTATATGATCCACAATGTTAACACTTAGTAGTAATAGTCCACAATAGTGTACAATATTAATAGCCTCAGTAGTATAATAGTCTACAATACTAATACATAATTGAAATACTCTACACTATTAATAGTCCACAATATTAATACTCAGTAGTAATACTCAACACTAGACCCGAATAATTATCTTTATTTTGAAAGCTCACATGGAACATCTTCTCAGGTCGAATGTTTATCTTGAGATATCACAAGAAAAACTCCAGATCAGATCATTGAGACCAGCCATTTTACTATCTATGTTTACATAACATAGTCCTTGGGACGTTGAAGCATTTTTGCTCTCACTTAATGTATATTCAATTCACTGTCGCTGGCAAAGCCGATACTTCTCCAATTGCAATTGCAAGAATGTTTACATGAGAAATTTCTCAATAGGCTACTGTTGATCGAAATACACGCTGCTGTACTGTGATATTGAGTGACATTGATATATGTCACATATTATTGACATCTATTTCATTTTATAGTAAAAGTCCAATAATTCTTTTTTTTTAAATCAATTTATACATCAGCTAAGAACATTTATTATGTTCTTGTACTTTTTATTTGGATTCGAGCATGGTCAAAGTATATTCCAGGAATCCCAAATATTTTTTACAAAAATCGTTGCACCAGTTAAGGTTTGGTATATATTGTACACTACATGCGCACACTATGAACTATATATAGTGTGTACAAAATGCAAAAGACCGCAGTTCTACAACAGAATTAAATCACCGCCGATATTAGGCTCTTAATACCACTTGAAATGTTAGTGTACTAAATTGCAAATACACTAAATTGAAACACGACGCGAAAGCTCCTGCAGTCAATACGTGCACAAATCTGGCAATGTGTACGTAATTACTAGCGCACATACTTCGAGGCGTCGAACACAATATTAAAGTGCACATAATAAGAGCCTGGAACACTGAAAAATATTAATTAAACACGTCGACAATATTCCACGGGGGAAGCAATCTACGGAATTTTCAGAATTCTACGGAAGATTATGGGAAAGCAATTTAGTCTTCCCTGACAAGTAACGTAAGCACGGGATCAGCATCCTTGGGCATTCTAACAGAGTGGGCGTAGCCTGTCTACTAAATTACTCCACTATCAAGAATCACTGGCTATCATGAATTGATGTTACACGCCCAGCATTCGAACTCGACAGATCTCCCACTCGAAAAAAACACAAGCTTTTCACGTTCTGTCTGCTCGAATTCCAAGCTTCGACTTCACCGAATCTATCTTGGACATTTCATAATTTCTACAGCGATGTCAGAAGGTCACGCGAAAGTGATTCATTTGTTTTGAAAGATTAGTCTCGCCGTCGGAAACGATAACGTTGAAATACGCGGCCTTTTTCTATCGCGTCAATGTGGATACCTACCATGCCGACATTAGCCTGAATTGTCAACGTTAACCTAAATTGTCGACATAACCTAAATCATCGACGTGTTGTCCTGCAACACGTGGTGCTCTGGCAGCTCTACGACGAGCTCCTGTGCATTAGGTTAATATTTCATAGAACTTTCACACAATTGCGTAAACATTTATTTTTATTTCTTTCACATTTATTACCGCGATAGCATGTTATTTTTACTAATTGTCCGGAGAATTTCTACAACACACTCTATTGACTGCTTCCATGAAAGGGTAAATCATTTTTATCTTACACGTTGATGTCAAACTTCGTCGTCCAATTTTATTATTTCTCTGATAACAAAATTGTAGATTGTAGAAATCGCAAACTGTAGAAAAATAGAAAATATTTCGAAAAAAATGTTCGGATGGACGCCCGATCGTCGGCGATACATGTTAACAGTTTGACAGTCGTGAGCGTAACCTCAAAAATTCAATAAAAAACGAATCTTATTTAATATCTTATTTAATAAAATCTTGATTAATTAAATCTTATTTAATAAAATTAAAATTGCTTCGCCGATATTCTTACGTTTCGCAGATCCTAATAAAATTATGAAGATACAATAGATCAGCGTAAAACAATTTTCGAATCTTAGTAAACAATTTCTTAGTAAATAATTCTGCCACATATGATCAACGCGGCAGTTGAAAGGTTAACACTAGATTTACGGAGTTGTTTTATATTAGTTTATAAAAGTAACAATAAGACATTTACTCTGATTTCGAACAAGTGTTATTGTAACATTTTGGCCGTAAATAACGTATAACCTTGAATAAATAACTCATGAATGTATCATTACGATATGAACGATCGTAAATTAAAAAATTAGTAAATCTAGCGTTAAAGAACTGTTCGCAATTAAACCGTAAGACAATTGTCCCCCGACGAGACAAACGAAATCGCATGGAACAGTCGCCTCTCAGTTTCCTCGTTTCACCCGATCGAAATCAGCGACTTTTATCGCGTCGACGCGGACGGCTCCCCGGCGAGATCGGATCTGCGGATCGAGGGCCTGTAAAATGACCGGGCGAAGATCGATATCCCGCGGCCGGGGCATTCGTCTCTTGGTCGCGGGCATCGGACGTCTGTCGCGGTTTATTCGAGGCGATCGCCGATCGGCCGCGGATTCCGGAAAAGCAGCTTGAAAGCAGGAACCACGGAAGACGATAACGGTGGATACGGTGCGCCGGTGAAAGGTCGTCGACGACGCCACGGCTTTACGTCAATTACATTGATATAGTGTCCCCCCCTCCCGCGCTCGCTCGCTCGCTCCTTCCCACCGTTCGTACTCCGCCACGTCTCCGGTGCTCTCAGCTCGCGCGAACCGTCCCGCAGCGCGCGCGTCATATCGAACGTATTTTTTCTCGCCGCGCGGCGCCCCTATCGGTCCCTTAAGTAGTAAATCTCGTCACCCCTGGAACCTTGTTCACTTCGAGAGCCGTAATTAATTACGAAACGCCGCGCCGCTCCGGTCCTATCTTATCAACTGTTTTCGCCCCCCGCCCCCACCATTCTTCACATCCCGCGACGTCTATTTCGCTGTTGCACGGTATTTTCGATTTTTACTCGCACGCTGTCGTTTCGCAGAGCTGCGGGAAAATAGATTTTTGGAACAGTAAATGGAAATTAAATGTTTTAGTACACATTAAATATTTAGTAGATGGACTGTAAATATTTGTATCTACTGTAACACAGAATTTGGGGTATAAACTAAGTTTGATACAACGGTTACATGTGAACGTTACGTAATTAATTTATAATTATTATAATTTATTATGTATTTTTATTATTATAATTTATCCGATAAATTCTTAATGAAATAAAAATTCTTAATAGTCTAGTTATAATTAGCTCGCTACGTATGCTTTACTGATTCTTGTAGATTTTTCCTAGATTACTGTTTCAATGTTTATACAGGGTGTCCGAAAGGTTATTTTCGGGTTCCTGAGGTGATTTCAAGTAACTTTTTCCTTTGCGAAAATGTTCTACGAGGCTTCGTTCGCGAGTTATCAACGAAAAACGTACGGCGCCAAGCCCCCGCTCGTCCACGCTCCGCCCCCGCTCTTCAATTGGTCCGCGTTTTTCGCCGATATCTCGTAAACGGAGCCTCGTAGAACATTTTCGCAAAGGAAAAAGTTGCTCGAAATCACCTCAGGAACCTCTAGTTTCATTGCCAGCTTTAACATCTCGCGTCAACTCCTCCGCTGTGCTTCACAATTTTAGCATATTATAAATTACATATAAATTACGATGTCCTAATTTAATCATTAAATTATCCTAATATTTGCCAATACACCTTCGCGATTATTTCGGATAACAGAGGCTCCGGCTCGCGGTTTCCAAGAATCCCGAATCGATTTGACACGAGCGGGATGTTCGAACGTGCGCGAGTGTCTCCGAAGCAATCAAAGGCATTTGTTCCTCCCGTCGTTCTATCGGTCACAGACTCGCGATGTGAATCAGCGTGGAGAATCATACCGAGACAAATGATCGCGGATAATCTATTAGAATGCCTGGACACGGTCTTAGGAGGAAGGGGTAGGGGGGTGGATGGAGAGAACACGGGGTCGACCTCCCCCACATTTTCATTCGCCACACCTCAGGCGAACCGTCCGAAGAAGCGTATTATTATTCCGTTATTAATCAAGTTTTCTTACTACCGGCTTGCGAAATGCTCTTCTTGCGTGGCAGCAGAGCAAACACCGCGGCGCAGTATCGACGCAAGGATATGATGCATGGGGCGCCATGTGGCGTCAACCGTTTCTTGCGGCACGCCGCGCGGCTAATGCCGCGAAACCGATTACTTGCTTGCATTCCGCTTGCGTCTATCCTACCGAAACGAAGCCGCCGGTCCTTCTCGAAACGGTTTTTCGTTTCGCGCTATTCGTCGTAC